ATGACAGCTACACGGCAATATTAATGAGCGAGAAACTTTGTATGTATAGCTGTCGTTGAAATCAGGTCTTACTGTGTAGCGCCCTGAGAGTACAGTTTTGAGAATAAAAGAATCGTCACGTCTAATTGGTTAATTCTGCATCTAGTCATGACAGCGAACCGACATTCTATAGAGCGAGAAACTTTGTATGTGTAGCTGTCTTTAAAATGAGGTTTTACTATTTTTCAACACCCACAGTTTTTCTAGGTTTGGAGGACTCGTCTCATCTACTCGAGAAAGACTACTCCAAGTAAGGACAGCGACCTAGCTGTCTCAGATAGAGAGAAACCTCGAATGTCACGCTGTCGTTGAAATCAGGACTTACTATGTAGCGCCCTCATAGCACAGTTCTGGGAATAAAAGAATGGTTACGTTTACTTGAAAAAGCCTGCATCTAGTCATGACAGTGACCTGGCATTCTTCATGAGCGAGAAACTTTGTATGTGTAGCTGTCGTTGAAATCAGGTCTTACTATGTAGCGCCCTCATAGCACAGTTTTCATGAGCGAGAAACTTTGTATGTGTAGCTGTCTTTAAAATCAGATTTTACTAAACATCAACCCTCGTAGGTTTTCTAGGTTTGGAGGACTCGTCTTTTCTACTCGAGAAAGGCTACTCCAAGTAAGTACAGCGACCTAGCTGTCTCAGATAGAGAGAATCCTCGAATGTCACGCTGTCGTTGAAATCAGGTCTTACTATGTAGTGCCCTCATAGCACAGTTCTGGGAATAAAAGAATCGTCAGGTCTACTCGGTTAATTCTGCATCTAGTCATGACAGCTACACGGCAATATTAATGAGCGAGAAACTTTGTATGTATAGCTGTCGTTGAAATGAGGTCTTACTGTGTAGCGCCCTCAGAGTACAGTTTTGGGAATAAAAGAATCGTCACGTCTAATTGGTTAATTCTGCATCTAGTCATGACAGCGAACCAACATTCTATAGAGCGAGAAACTTTGTATGTGTAGCTGTCTTTAAAATGAGGTTTTACTATTTTTCAACACCCACAGTTTTTCTAGGTTTGGAGGACTCGTCTTTTCTACTCGAGAAAGACTACTCCAAGTAAGGACAGCGACCTGGCTGTTCCAGATTCAGAGAAACCTCGAATGTCACGCTGTCGTTGAAATCAGGTCTTACTATGTAGTGCCCTCATAGCACAGTTCTGGGAATAAAAGAATCGTCAGGTCTACTCGGTTAATTCTGCATCTAGTCATGACAGCTACACGGCAATATTAATGAGCGAGAAACTTTGTATGTATAGCTGTCGTTGAAATCAGGTCTTACTGTGTAGCGCCCTCAGAGTACAGTTTTGAGAATAAAAGAATCGTCACGTCTAATTGGTTAATTCTGCATCTAGTCATGACAGCGAACCGACATTCTATAGAGCGAGAAACTTTGTATGTGTAGCTGTCTTTAAAATGAGGTTTTACTATTTTTCAACACCCACAGTTTTTCTAGGTTTGGAGGACTCGTCTTTTCTACTCGAGAAAGACTACTCCAAGTAAGGACAGCGACCTGGCTGTTCCAGATTCAGAGAAACCTCGAATGTCACGCTGTCGTTGAAATCAGGTCTTACTATGTAGCGCCCTCATAGCACAGTTCTGGGAATAAAAGAATCGTCAGGTCTACTCGGTTAATTCTGCATCTAGTCATGACAGCTACACGGCAATATTAATGAGCGAGAAACTTTGTATGTATAGCTGTCGTTGAAATCAGGTCTTACTGTGTAGCGCCCTCATAGCACAGTTTTTGGAATAAAAGAATCGTTACGTTTACCTGGTTCATTCTGCATCTAGTCATGACAGCGAACCGACATTCTATAGAGCGAGAAACTTTGTATGTCTACCAGTGGTTAATGTCAGGTTTTACTTTTTTTCCACGCTTACATTTATTCTAGGTTAGGAGGACTCGTCTCATCTACTCGAGAAAGACTACTCCAAGTAAGGACAGCGACCTAGCTGTCTCAGATAGAGAGAAACCTCGAATGTCACGCTGTCGTTGAAATCAGGACTTACTATGTAGCGCCCTCATAGCACAGTTCTGGGAATAAAAGAATGGTTACGTTTACTTGAAAAAGCCTGCATCTAGTCATGACAGTGACCTGGCATTCTTCATGAGCGAGAAACTTTGTATGTGTAGCTGTCGTTGAAATCAGGTCTTACTATGTAGCGCCCTCATAGCACAGTTTTCATGAGCGAGAAACTTTGTATGTGTAGCTGTCTTTAAAATCAGATTTTACAAGCATCAACCCTCGTAGTTTTTCTAGGTTTGGAGGACTCGTCTTTTCTACTCGAGAAAGGCTACTCCAAGTAAGTACAGCGACCTAGCTGTCTCAGATAGAGAGAATCCTCGAATGTCACGCTGTCGTTGAAATCAGGTCTTACTATGTAGTGCCCTCATAGCACAGTTCTGGGAATAAAAGAATCGTCAGGTCTACTCGGTTAATTCTGCATCTAGTCATGACAGCTACACGGCAATATTAATGAGCGAGAAACTTTGTATGTATAGCTGTCGTTGAAATCAGGTCTTACTGTGTAGCGCCCTCAGAGTACAGTTTTGGGAATAAAAGAATCGTCACGTCTAATTGGTTAATTCTGCATCTAGTCATGACAGCGAACCGACATTCTATAGAGCGAGAAACTTTGTATGTGTAGCTGTCTTTAAAATGAGGTTTTACTATTTTTCAACACCCACAGTTTTTCTAGGTTTGGAGGACTCGTCTTTTCTACTCGAGAAAGACTACTCCAAGTAAGGACAGCGACCTGGCTGTTCCAGATTCAGAGAAACCTCGAATGTCACGCTGTCGTTGAAATCAGGTCTTACTATGTAGCGCCCTCGTAGCACAGTTCTGGGAATAAAAGAATCGTCAGGTCTACTCGGTTAATTCTGCATCTAGTCATGACAGCTACACGGCAATATTAATGAGCGAGAAACTTTGTATGTATAGCTGTCGTTGAAATCAGGTCTTACTGTGTAGCGCCCTCATAGCACAGTTTTTGGAATAAAAGAATCGCTACGTTTACTTGAAAAAGCCTGCATATAGTCATGACAGCGACCTGGCATTGTTCATGAGCGAGAAACTTTGTATGTGTAGCTGTCTTTAAAATCAGGTTTTACTATTCTTCAACCCTCGTAGTTTTTCTAGGTTTGGAGGACTTATCTTTTCTACTCGAGAAAGACTACTCTCCAAGTAAGGACAGCAACCTGGCTATCTCAGATAGCGATAAACGCCGAATGTCACGCTGTCGTTGAAATCAGGTTTCACTGATTTTTCACTAATATTTCGCTCTTTTAGCTTTCGGCCAATTATCAAATAGCTTAACATTCGCATGCCTTCTAATCGTTATGTATTTCTGATGGATACAACCTCTTTGGTACTGCTGCCTGTTATTCTATGCATGTTATATTCTCACAGAGTAACCTGCTCTAAAATATCGTAAATAGCTGATATATAGAAAAGCAAGTTCTGATTATACTTACTTTTGTTTATAATTTCTGTTGAGAATGATTTTTGTTGCTTTTGTACTTAATTTTTTGTTCTCTTTCAACCGTATAACATGGTATTTAATTGAATGCGAAAAAAATTTGTCTATTCAATTTTATTCATGAGTCTGTGTTTTCACCTATGATTTCTCAAAAATATATGTCAATGAGAATTCTAAAATTACCCCGATATTATCAATTTTTTTCATAAATGCATTTATCTAGGAGATATTGTATAGTGTTTGTTACATACTTTTGCTCCCCTTCCTTCTCGACCTTTATTTAATCAAACGGAAAGATTGTATTCTTCAAATTTAACGTATATAGGTGAGCGGGCCTCTCGTTTGACAGTTTTTACAAGCAACTTTCAATCAGGTTGGACTAAAAATCCAAGAAAACAGGTTGGATTACAAATCCATTGGTTTCCTATTTTTTCCAAATAATAATTCACCGAAATTATAAAATTTTTTTCATTTTGGACCCTTTGCCAAAACTTGAAAATATAATCGCACAGAAATTTTGAGTGAAGTATTTCGTAGTTCTTTATAATCCCTAATCAAAGCACTCAGAGAGTAATCATTTTTGTTTAATATCGTACGAAAACTGCCATTTGCTTTTATCTTTTCATATCTATGTAAATAATAATGATACAACAAAATATATTAGAATTGAAATATTTGTTTTTTCAAATAGAATACTAAATAATTTTTCCAGATTTCTTTTTGAAAAAAAATTTCTTTTTACAGCTGTTTTTTCCTTTCAAATTTAATAAATTATCCGAGACATAATATTATTTCATTACTTAGTGACTAGTAATATATACATCAAATTTATTTTCGAAAATTATTGTCGAAATATAAAGATTTTGTTTTGCAAATTGCATTTTTGTGTTAACGCATTATTTATTAGTCTAGAAACAAAAAAAGAAGATTTTGTGTCTCAGATAATTTATTAAACTTAAAAAATAATTCCGCTGTTGTATATAAAAAATTGAACATTATTTTCGAAAAGAAATATGAAAAAACTTTGATAGTATTCTATTTAAATAAAACAAACATAAATGTCAGCTTTCACTAAAAATGCCGGTAAGCGCTAGATATTCAACGAAAAAATACAGACCTTTAATAAGAAGTTTTAAATAAAAACATTAATTTAGGGAGTAATTTCATTTTGGTAGAGATCATTTTTCGAAAAAATTTTTCAGTTATACAAGTTTAATATTTATTAAATGTAATTGCTATGACTATTTGTATCTTCTGCCATTGTTTATAATGGAGCTATTTCGATAGCATCCAGTCACTACAATAGCTAGAGTAAAAACAAATAATAGGACAACTTATCAACAAAGTTTTTGTGCAGTTTTATTTTAAAATTTAAAAAGTATCAAATAAATTAAAATTATTATAATTTTGCTTATTTATTATAAAAAAGTATATAAATATTTTTCAATATAAACCTTTTACAACTATATTACATATGTATTATTTGGCTTTTCCTTTAATAACATAGATTTTCAATTATTGTTCGGGCATTTGTGACACCATAGTGTTTTTTTTGAGAAAAAACCGCCACAGCCTCTGCATTGCACTCTTTCAGAATTTTCAGATCTAATTCTAGTTGATCTGCATGAGATAATAATACCAGTGAATTTGTAGTAGACATCACATCCTCTATTTCTTAGTGAAGTTAGTGCGTTAGATCTGTTATTATATATTTCACCAGCAGGGGTTATAATTTGTTTAACCTTTGGTTCACTAGAGTGATGTGTTATCAAATGTCTGGGATATTGGTGTACGAAAGCAGCACAGAAATGGCAGAATGGCCTTCTTCTTTTTGGAATCGGTTCTGAAATTTGTTTAAAAATTATTATACAAGTAGCACTCTATTATTTCAAAGGAAAGTTCATGTCATATAATTATTTTCTACATAGATTATTACTGAAAAGACTATTATTACTAATTTTGTAGTATACTGTTTTAATTTTTATCAAAAGTAGGATGTCAAGAAATTTAGTTATATAATTTGACTGACTACCAAATAAAATTTGTATACAAAATGAAACCATAAAATATCTATGCATTTTTATTTAATTTAGTTGATTGAAAAAACTTCATGATTCCAGATATTGTGATATTTTCATTATTGTGAAAATTATTTAGTCTATATATTAACAACTATTTTGTTTTTATTTTAATTGTATTTTGTATCAATTGTATTCTATAATTAATTGTATTAAAGCAGTTTTTTCAAATTTTATTTTACAATATCTAGTTTAGTAAGACTTTGAACAAAATTAATAAGGTTAGGTTAGGATTACATCTATTTATACATTTTTTTCTTACATATTTTGAAAATTTTTTTTTAACCTAAGCTACTTACCAGGACGTTTGATGAGTACGTAGGGTACACTATTAGATCTCTTTATAATTGTACCACCACATTTAGAATTATGCCATATATTATTAGTAACATTGCTAACAATCCCTTTACAACATGTATTACAGCACTGCAATAGTAAATTGGTAGATTTAAAATCAGACTCTGAAGATATTTGGTTGCTAATCTTTGTAGTTTCATGGTTTTGCCATAGAGCTAAAAATGTATATAAATTAACATTTTGATCTTCAGTGATAGTATAATTGATATTTAATTTTTATTGTATGTAAACAACCAATTTAGTCAAATACATATACTTACAATAAGTAGAATCCACCTCTTTAATTAAAAGTTGCTCTGAATAACTATGATTATTTGAAACTCTTGTTGCATTTTCACAATTAGTTGAACTATTCAATTTTTTGTGTATGTCATTAATTGCCAAGCTGGTATAAATTGATATTTGTATATCTCTAGTAAGCATATTATTTTCTAAAACTATAGATATATTACACTTTATAAGTGGTTTCAAGATTAGAATTTTCCATAAGTCATAAAAATCGTTGAGCATGGGCACTTTATTTATAACTAAGCTTAGTTCTGGTATTTCATTTATATTCGCAGTAGACAAATTTTCTAATAAATTATCTTGTTTGGCAATCAAGTTGCAATCAATTTTCTTATTATAATAGTTACACAATGTTTTTATTTTTTTTGCATCTTCAATAGAATCTACATCAACTATTTTTTCTTCACCTACACATTAATATAAATTATGATTAATTTAGTTTGATTATCTAGTGAATAATTTTTTAAAATAATAAGTAAAATTAAATAGATATAAATACATTTTTTACTTGAATTTTTATTTATTGACTTAAATATGCCTTCTTTTTTCTTTTCACAAGTTGCACATGCACAATCCTTATTAGTTTCTCCAAAATAATTACAGCCATAATAACAAAATAGTTCATCTCCAGCTTGAATATTTTTAATTGCTTTTATAATAATGGTGTTTTTTGAATTTGGTAAATATATGCAATTAGGCTTGCAATCATGGTTTATAAATGCAGCTGGTCCTAACATAACCAAATCACTATTAGTCCTACTACTGTGCATAATAGAAAAATCTAGGTTCTGTGTTTCAAGAAAAGCTTTTACTTTTGAATCAACTTTGTTATAAAACCCCATAAGTTCCTTAATTAATGTACCCTTAGGTATATCTACTTTGGCTTTAGCCATAAGACCTTTGTAATTGTCGCCCTTGTAGCGATTACACTCATGAATTTCAATAGTAGACTGTTTAGAAATAATAATAATATAAGCCATTAGGATTGAATCTAACCAAGCCAAATTTTTAATATTGAACTGCATGTAGAGTTTTTCACTTTTCACAAAATTAATCAAATTATCTTTTAGTTTTCTACGATTGTTATAACCTTGAAGAGAAAATTCTGCAATTTCTTCTTTTATGATATTTTGTTGTTTATCAGAAATCACACTATTTTTATATATTTTACGAGTAATGAATCCTATAAATGGATCCAATATAAGAATTTTACAAATGTCATCGACTTGCATCAAATTCCATGTGTACATTTTACTTTGTTTGATATTTGTTTCTAATTTTGACTTTTGCATTTTTAACTAATATTTAATCATTTGTAAATAAAAGTGGATAACATAATAACTAAATGTAACATTGTGATATGCTAAATCAGACAAACTAGAATAATTATTTTTCAGCAGTATTAGGGTTGTCACACAGAAAAATAAGTACAAGTAGAGTCGCGTATTACTTACTCCCGATATTTTATGCGGCTCTTAATATAATAATTTAACTCATAAAATTAAAAAGTAAAGATTGATTGCTCATTCTATATATTGTAAATGAAAATGTGTAAATAATAGCTAGATATTATATTTATAAATAAATTAGCCTTATATCAAAACTTTCCAATAAACAAAATTATTGGTTATATTATACTTGAATTACATTTTGTTAGTACAACTCTATTATATGTCTTCTTAAGTCAGTAGACTTATGTTAAATGTCTGCACAACTGCAAATACTTAAGCTTAACATTTTTCTGGAGTTATGCTAACATGTATGCATATGTGCCTTTACGCTTTAGAAAGTATAATTGTTAATAATTTTGAAAATAATAATTTTTAAGTATTTTTATATGTATACATAGAATAGGGAACACTTGATTCATCAATGTATCATGTTATCAAACTACTTTTTTCGTAGTCAGCATAAGTGCCTATATACAAATATATATATATATATATATATATATATATATATATATATATGGTTATCCAAGTCAGAAAAATCAATCTTAATAGATTGTATTGACAAGTAATTGTACTTTAATATTTTTTTAGATTTTAAAAACAAATATCAATATAAAAATAGAAGGATTTCACAAAATACTGGTTCCAAGTAAATATCTCTGACTTGAGAACCATGTTTGGACTATACGTCTACTTAAAAGTGCAGTGGATTACGAAACTTGGATCACGATTCATTTGATGTGTTTATTTGAACATGAATATGAAAGCACCACGATTAGTTATTATTGAAATCACTCAAAAAAAGTGCCAATAAAGCTATAGAGTGTAAAATTTTATATCAAATTCCATCATTTAAAATAGAAAGAATGAATAAAACAATCCTTCGTCTTTAGATTAGCAGATCGCAAGGGAAAGGAAACTACAAGTTTTTAAGATCAAAACTCCAACATCAATGGAATCTCCTAGAGTCGTGGTTACAGAGAGGAGTAACACGGTTACTTGAAAGCAAGGTGAAAAATAATGATGTTAATAGTGAAAATAAGATGAAGGATGATGAAGAGATAAATACAAATAAAAATGACATCAAAATATATGCGAGTGAGTTAGATATTATGGAACATCAATCTTCTACTAGTGTGGATGATAATAATATAAGTCTCAGCGCTACAGAAGAAGGACAGTAACTTGTAGAAGATAATAACACTTAAGAATAATGGAAGTATTTCAAACGATTTCGATAAGAAGAAAAATAATCAGAGCGAAGATTTATACAGGGTGTCCCATTTTAAAGGAACCACCCCGAAATTTTCGACGGTTGGCGTTGTACAAAAAAAATGTTCAGACAACAGTTGTTTAGGACAATGGGGGCAACCGTTCTGCGAAATCCGATTTGACCTTGAGATTCATTTTCAAGGTCATTTGAAGGTCAAAGTCATTATTTGAATAGGAACCAATATTTTTGATCCCTGATTCGGAAAGAGCGGAAAATTTAACCCCCCCCCCCCCCTAAGGTCATGTAGGGGTCAGATTTATGATTTTCTTCATCTATGCACAGGGATGATCGGGCAAGAATAAGGTTAATTGTAATAACCCAATAACCAAAATAACCCAATAACCCAAATAACCCAATAATCCAATAACCCAATAACCCCAATAATTCAATAACCCCAATATCCCAAAAAAAATTGTAGGGTCAAATAACAGTGACCTAGAGCTGAAACTTCAGGATGATTTTCAAAGTCGACTTCATGTATTCAAAGCCTTCATGAGAAGTGTCATTTTCCATTTTGTGGGATAACATGTTATTTCCATTCTTTTTTCAGGTGTGATTCCGGACAATCCTACAAAGTTTCAACTAAATTGTTTAATAACACTTTTTTAGTATTGTTTATGACAATAGTAATTCGCGGACAGTCCTTCTCAGGATAGTTCTATAATTTTTTTAGTTGACTTAAAAGGAGGGAATATGCCGGATTATTCGAGAAACGAAATTGTTGATATTCTGTTGTCTCTCGGGGCAAGTCAAGGCCGATATCGTGCTGCGGCAAGGTATTACCGCCAAAATTACCCAGGGAGGCTTCACTACCCGGACCACGTGAGAATCCGAATCATCGAGCAAAGAGAGAGACGTCGACCCCGAATACGCAGAAATCGTCGTCACATTATGATGCCGAATAATGATGATCCACGAATTCTCGTCGTTTTGGCAATGGTTGATTTGGATCATCATATCTCGTTGCGTGAAATTCAGAGACGTACTGGAATCCCAAAATCAACAGCCGCTAGATATTTGCGGCTGTAGAGATTTCATCCGTATCACATAACTTTGACTCAAGCTTTGATGCCAGATGATCTCCGCCGCAGACTCGAATTCTGTAATTGGGCACAAGAAAGGATTCGTGAAGATCCTGAATTTTTTAGATACGTCATGTTTTTGGACAAAGCTACATTTCATGGTAATGGGCTACTCAATCGCCATAACAGTCATTATTGGTCTATCCAGAACCCTCATTAGGTACGTTATGTTGATAATCAGCATAGATGGAGCCTCGTAGTTTGGTACGGTATAATAAATGGTTATCTGATATGACCTTATTTTTTCGATGGGAATGTCAACGGCGCAGCATATCTTGATTTTTTGCAGAATGAATTATCAGAATTATTGGAAGATGTGGACTTGGAAACCAGAAGACGATTATGGCTTCAACAGGATGGTGCACTGTGTCATCGCTCACTAATGGTTCGTCACTTCTTGAACCAACGATGGATAGGCATTGGTAGTGACATTACTGAGTGGTGTCTGATCTTGGACCAGATCTGACAAGTCCAGATTTCTTTTTATGGGGCTATTTGAAAAATGTTGTTTATGCACAGCAACCAACAACACGGCAAGATATGATGCAACGCATCATACAAGCTTGCACGCGTCACGTTTTGATGTCCACAGTTGAAAACTTTGAACGTAGAATTCAACACTGCATAAATTTGAACGGGTGTATTTTTGAACATCTTATGAGATAAATGTTTGTGTTACAATCTTGACCATAACTCTATCTGTAGTCAACGTCTTGTCTTGATCGGCTGAGCATTCCAACCTTGCCTTCACTGGCTGGGTAATCAATACCTTGTCTTCAGTGGCCGGGTAATCGATACCTTGCCTTCACTGGCTGGGTAATCAATACCTTGCTTTCACTAGCTGGGTAATCAATATCTTGCCTTCATTGGCTGGGTAATCGATACCTTACCTTCATTAGCTGGGTAATCGATACCTTACCTTCATTAGCTGGGTAGGTGAATTCCGAACCTTATATGAATTGAGCGTTTTAGGTAAATTATTCGAAGTAAATTTAGAAGTATTTACTAGAACAAGCAATGAGGAAAAAAATATTAAAAAAGAAGATGACTGTAGAACTCATTCGCAGAATCAGTCGTGCTCCTATATTTTATTTACTGGATCACGTACTATCGGTCACTGGGAAGTTTTACAAAAGTTATGTAACAATCCTACAGCTACAGTAGTAAATGCCGCCTCATTAGATATTTTAAATGAAGAAAAATACTTTGAATATAGAAGTACACAAGAGAGTCCTATACCAGAAGATGTTAGCGGATTGATAGATACTTTAGAACAAAGTAACAATTATTCAACAAAAAAATCTAGTGATAATACAAAAGCAGGCATTGAACAATTTAAGACAAAAAATGTAACTGGACAAAAAACTTCTTGCTATAGACAAAAATTGATAACTGAAGAGAATAAAGATATTTATTCATTTACATACACAAATGATAAGGTTGGAGTTGATGATGTTGTCAAGTATCCTGCTGGAAGGAATGAAGTGAGCAAGGTAGATGATGGCGACGTTATAAAATACGAACTAAAACGAAAGAAAAATGCATGACACAAAAATTAATGTCTTTCAAACATTTCAGTAGCATAAACGATACAAACAATGAATCTGATTTATCGGAATCTGATGTAGAAATTACAGATGATGATGACTTCCAAAAAAAGCGTGAGAGAAAATAGGATAGCCAAAAAATAAAAAATGTAGAGAGAATTACATTTGATCACGATATTGGTACAATTATGGTTCCGTCAACGATTTTGAAAGATAACTTAGGTTTGACTGACGACGATAAATTACGAGCTGTACTCGAAACCACTCTGTTACATGAATTTAAATGCAATTGTTCGTTGAACTTTGGTACAATCCACCACAATTCTAGAGATATGGTGGTTTATGCAAAGTGTAGATATACCATTTGTATGAAAATGAAAATTAAATTTAAATTCAGTATCCATAATATGAAAGATAATTTAGTAGTATTGCACTTATATTCTACGGAAAAAATAAAAGTTATACATGAAAAAACTGAAGTAAGCGCTATTTATAAGAGCTTGAGAAAAGAAGAACGTAGAAAATGGGTAGATGAAGCACAACGGAAAGAGCGGAAAATTCTACGTTTAGAGAACGTATTATGTGTGGGATGCGGTTCACCCCCTCCCCCCCAGGTCGTGTAGAGGTCAGATTTATGATTTTCTTCATCTATGCACAGGGATGATCGGGCAAGAATAAGGTTAATTGTAATAACCCAATAACCCAAATAACCCAATAACCCAATAACCCCAATAATTCAATAACCCCAATATCCCAAAAAAATTGTTAGGTCAAATAACAGTGACCTTGAGCTGAAACTTCAGGATGATTTTCAAAGTCGACTTCATGTATTCAAAGCCTTCATGAGAAGTGTCATTTTCCATTTTGTGGGATGACATGTTATTTCCATTCTTTTTTCCGGTGTAATTCCGGACAATCCTACAAAGTTTCAAATAAATT